TACAAAAAAAGTTCCGAAACTTCACAGGAGTTGAACTCCCGTGAAGTTTAGCAATCATTTAATTAAGATGCTAAACTTCACGGGAGTTCAACTCCCGTGAAGTTCCACAACTCAACTTTTTTTTTAACTAAGAAACTTCACGGGAGTTCAACTCCCGTGAAGTTTAACAGCTATTTAATTAAGCTGCTAAACTTCACGGAAGTTGAACTCCCGTGAAGTTTTGGAACTTTTTTTTGTAAAAACCGACCTGGTTTCAGCGCTGAGGCTGAAACCAGGTCGGTTTTTACAAATAAAGAGGAAAGAGGTCGTTTTTTGGGAATAAAATCGCAAAAGGGGTGGTTTTGAAAATTTGTCCTCCATAATTATAGTTACCTCCACACGCAGTTAATTAAGTATGCTTCACCGGTAACTATCACTTACCTATGCCTTCTGCTGATGATGGAATGGTTAATGACACGATCTTCAAGAGTTTCTTCTTATTTTTTAATGATAACTTGGAGGTTTCATGGTGATTGACATACACAGGAGCGTCAAAATCAACTAAAATTGTAAAATAATGATAAGGCATGGATATAATAACTTGGAATTGTAAAATGATGATATGATCTACAAGAGTTTTTCCCCACTTTAATTTGTGATTTCTTTCCGTATAAATGAGTCCTCCCTTCTTTGGTGCGTCTTCTTTCCCTTAGATTTGTTAAAAGCTTGATGCTGAGTGAGGAGTTGAATCTTCAACTTGTAAGGCTCATCACTGGGTCCTATTTATCTAGAACAAAACCCTATTGGAGAGAAACCCTCATAAACCAACATATCTTCAAGAATAATCGAAGCTTCTCCAGAGAAAAACAAATGTGTTAGCTTCGTCACTCCCGCATACTAGTACCTCCCAAATGGGTACCAAATCTTTTAGGTATTGGATGCTAAGGGACTGACTTCTTACTTTTTGTATTGAAGGGGAAGAGCTGCAGACAATAGCCATTTTAAACCCGGCTACCAAAAACCGGTAAAGAGGAGATTCAGTCTGGGCATCCCTAACTTAAGATAAGGGTTTTAGGTTAAGAGTTTGATGTATGTGGATGTAAGGATTCCTTAACTCGGTCCTAATTTATAGCAAAACTTGGTCTGCATAGAAATTTGGACGTAATGGCTATTTATTAACTTTTAATTAATGAGAAGGTTTGAGAGAGAAAAGGCAGAGAGACTCTTAGTTAAGATCTTGTTTGACTTTCAGTGAATTTATGCATAGAAATTTGGAGGTAATGACTATTCATTAACTATTAATTAACGAGAAGGTTCAAGATAGAGGGGGATGGACTCTCAGTTAACCTTGTTTGACTTTCAGTGAAGGCAGGCTAATTTTTGCCCTTTGGTTCTAAGAGGATTTATTTATTATTATATTTTTTGGGGGGTGGGGGTGGGGGGCAGGTAAGGAGAGAAGGGGGAAGGGAGACTCTTAGTTAAACTCTTATTTAATTTTTAGTGAATTAATGCATAGAATCTGGAGGTAATGATCATTCATTAACTGTTAATTAACGAGAAAGCTCGAGAGAGAGGGTGTGGCTCTTAGTTAAAAACTTATTTGACTTTCAGTAAATTCAGGCTATTTTGCCCTTTGCGTTCTAATGGATTTTTGGGAGAGAGGAGAGACGAGGCGTGGGGTACGGGGGTGGGGGTGGGTGTGGTTGGTGGTTCGGGGGACTCTTAGCTTCAACTTTTGTTGATTTTCAGTGAATTCATGCATAAAAATTTGGAGGTAGTGACTATTCATTAACTGTTAATTAATGAGAAGGTTCGAGAGAGTGGGATTAAGACTCTCAGTTAAAAACTTGTTTGACTTTTAATGAGTTTTGTTTAATTTTTGCCCTTTGGTACTATGTTGTACTAAGTTGAGTGCTTAGGTGAGCACTTCAATTTATATGAGAAAATTACTGTTGTGACTTGTGTACTCCAAAATTAATATGAGAAATAGCTATACCAGCATAAATTAAGGATTCTGAGAATTCTAATATTGAAATCATATTCACATAAAAAGGAGTTCTTGGATGACCTGCAAGATATAGGCAACGCCAATATTTATTTAATATCGGTTAATATATCGCTATATTGGCTGATACTTTGGTTTTAAGGCCCTCCCGCAACAATATTTACAAATTTTTTGTGGTTCTCGATTTTTGACAATTTTTTTCCAATATATCAGGATTATATCGAAAATATTGGCCGATATTCCCTTGACTTGAGCAAATATCTAATTTTTTTTACAATTTTTTCATGATGTGGAGGAGGAGCAAGTTTCTACAATTGGTGAGTTATCCTAAACGTATGTTATTATTCATGATGCAATTTATTATGTTTAGAATTCATTAAATATGTTTAGATTACATATAACAAATATTATGTTATGTATAAACATCATCTGACTTGACACCATAATATTTTTTACATATCCCTGGCATATCCGCAATCTGATTTGGGTTTTTGATTGTTTAATATTTTCACGATATCGTATATTTAAAACAGTGGGCATTACAGGAGATCATAATATTATTTGTTTAGTCTGATTTATAGGGGTGATATATTAATAACACATATATTTTATATATGGAAGAACCGGACACAAAATGAAAGATCGAGTTAACATATTAGTTATGAAACAAAGTAGAATTTTTGTTTTGCCAACCGATATAAACACCAACCTCTTACATCTAAACTGCTCTTTATTCTAGTTAGAATATATGATCCTTAACCCTCCACCTTTACTTCAGAGTTATGATGCAGTAGCTGAGACTGTAAAATGGTACCAGGGCAACCCAAGTTTGAATCTTGCTGGCCACAAATTTAAACTGATTTAAAAAAATATTGATACCACTGCGTGAGTTTATGTTCCATTCCTAATAAGGAAGTCCTTAACTTGCAGAGACTTGTTAGAGTATGAAATTATAACTCTCAATACTCACCACTACTTTTGGAGTTCTTGGTGTAGTGGCACAGCCTTTAAGATGGTATAGAGCAACCCATGTTCAAATCTTGGTCGCTATGAATTTTTAGGAGGATTTTAAAAAATTGATGCCACTGCCATGTCTTTGCCCATAAAAAAACCGACAATCTACGAGGACATATTAGACTATAAAATTGTAGCCCTCAACCCCCATTAACTTCGGAGTTCTAGTGCAGGCAGAGACTTTAATTGGTGTCGGAGCAACTCAAGTTCAATTTCTATTGGCCACGAATTAATCCGAATTTTAAAAAATTTGATATCGTTGTGTTAGTTTAGATTTCAGTCCAAACAAGGGTGTTCAACTTGCAGGGGCATTTAGAATATAAAATTGTAACCCTCAACCCTCACCATGACTTCTAGTTCTGTTGCAGTGCATGGACTTTAAGAATGCCTATTTGTTAAAAAACTTAAAGCATGAAGAAAGAAGAAATAAGAGTACTTCTCAACGAAGTTTCTTGGTCTGCTATGTGCATGTGATCTAAAAATGTTATTTATTCTTATATCAATTATAAATGTACAAAACAATTGAATCTGTTTCCGAAAACAATCTTGCATTATTTTTTTGTTCTTTGTTTAAATGTTGTTGTCACAATTAGTGTCATGGGGCTGATCTATAATCATCAATGTTTTAAATATCGGTCGATAAATCGATATTATCGGCGATTTATTGGTTTTAAGGGTCTTTCTCTATGATAAGTTCCATTCTAAATCGATTATCGTTTTTAGATGTCTGTCGTCGATAATGTGGCGATAAAGTGAGTTATCAGCCGATATTGTTAGCCCAAAAATCAAAATTATCAGCCTTTGGTTTGAGTTTTGATTTCGAGCAACAAGTACCTATTCAATGCACTTTAAGTTTCTACTATTGGTTAGTGATCCTAAACATAATTATTTACATTTTGATATGTTTATATTTCATTAAGTATGGTTAGATTACATCTTACATATTATATTATGTATATCACCATCCAGTAATGTCACTTCGATAAATACTATTTATCTCTGATATCTGCTATCCGATATGAATTTTAACCGTCTGATAAATCCCCGATAACCGATATTTAAAACATTGATAATCATATTAAATCCTTTATGACTTGAGCTTTTCATAGAATCTAGTTAAATGGAAACTTGAGTTTGCTGTTTACTAGTATATTGGGACGTACAAGTAATATTAAATTTCTAAATAAAGAGTTCTGCATCATGCATTTTAATTATGATATAATCGATTAATGTGTATCTATAGTATCTCTACTCTCTAGGAAAAACTATCACAAAAGTAAAAAGAATTTATTATACAATTATGTATATTTTTTATGCATCTAAAAATTTATTATTCTATCCTTCATTATAAGAGGAATGAAAATGAGCTTGGAATTCATATACTAATTTATTGGGCATTAGAGGACGTAAATAAAACATATTCCATTATACTTATTATTATTATTATTATTTATTTCTCTGTTAACTTTAGATTAAAGCAACAAAATTATTATACATAAGAACTCATTGAATGTTTAAAATTTTACTCACATAATTATGAGAAGAACTTTTTTGCTATTAAAATTATTTTTAATTAATTATTAAATACATGTTAAATAAGGCTCTTTTTTATAATACGTTACTACCTAGTTCACATTGTGTTACATTTTTATTTTCATAAATTATATGATTTTTAAAAAACTCATGCATAATGTTTTAAAAAGCTCTTGCCTAGCTTGCCTAGCCTCCCTCTTAGGCCTATGAGGTACTTGGGCTACTTAGGCTCCGCTTGCCTACATCTTCAAAGCGTCTAGGGGAATGGAGATCACTTACGTCCTCCATCCTCCTCTAAACTCATCTAACCTCTACTGACTACAAAACCTCCTCCAACTACTCTGACCTTCAGCAAAACCTCCTTCGTCACCACTTAAACTAAAAAATAAATTTTAGAAAATAAATCCACCAGGCCTAGTGTGTAGGCACTTGTTGCCAGTTTGACACGTAGCGGTGCCTAGCGCTTTTGACAACATTGATTGTAATTAAAAAAAAAAACGCCTAGGCCCTGCCTACGCGCCTAGTCTCTAGGTACCAGATTTGACGCCTAGGCCGCCTAGTACTTTCTATGACCTTAGTCATGCATAAAAGTTTAAATATGAGGAGGTGGAGGAATGAAAATAATGGAACCTTTTAGACAAAGAGGAATGAAAATTTAATTTTGAAAAAGAGATGAATTAATGGAATGTAATGAAACCTTCTAGAGAGAGGAGAGAGAGGGGGAGAGAGGGCCCACATCAATAAGATTGTAATAAATGACTAAACTACCCTCATCTTTATTAAAATGGCCTCCAATTCTTAATGAAATTGAAGTAATAAAAGCTCATTCCTCCACTTTTGTACCCTACAATTTCTTTTACAGAGGAGTATAGATATTTGCTTTTGTCTTTCAATGCTTCACATCTTCACATCTGATCTGTTACATGCATAGTTTACACTGACTCCATGGCTTCTTTTATCTTCTATGCCATACATGGATACCTATAGACGAATTCTTACAATATCAAACTTAATGTATGTATTTGGTTTTGATATTTGAGATTTCAATATGTCATTCCACATATGCCAAAGCTCTGATGACTGCTTATGTCGTGCAGCACTAGTTTAAGTTTGTTTGATATACCTTATGTCTCTAGGAACTGAAGCTTCATTTCTCACTTTTACTTGTTGAAAGAGGATTGTGCCTCAATATTTATAAGGTCATGCTTCTGGGGCAAGTGTGTGCTATTCATGTAAAGCTTGTTCTATAAATAGAAGAGAGTTCACCTATTTGAGTCTCAAATTCATGCTCATATTTTGTGATTTATTTTGAACCTGCATGACTACACCTGCTTTCTACTCTATGCAGCAAGGTTTTAAATATCGGTTATCGGGGATTTATCGGACGGTCAAAATCCTTATCGAATAGCGAAAATCGGGGATATATCGGGGATAAATAGTATTTATCGGAGTGATATACTGGATGGTGTATATGTATAATATAATAAGCAAAAATGTAATCTAACCATGCTTAATGAAATATAAACATACCAAAATGTATATAATCATGTATAGAAGAGGCTCGGAGGTGAGTGGAGGTGAGCTTCAAGGTCGAGGAGGCGAGCAACGTTAACGGAGGTGAGCTCCGAGGTCAGGGAGACAATCGATGCTAGCGGAGTTGAGCTACGAGGTCGGGGAGGCGAGCTACGTCTACGAAGATGAGCTTCGAGGTCGGGAGGCGAGTGACGTCGGCGGAGGTGAGCTTTGAGGTCGGGGAGGCGAGCGATGTCAGCGGACGTGAGCTTCGAGGTCTGGGAGGCGAGCGACGAGGTCAACGGAGTTAGATGGGAACATAGATCTTGAGCTCGATGGAGTTCAAAGAGGCTCGGAGGCTCGGAGAGCAACCGCACAGAGAGGGAGAGAAATTCACGAAGGATTCGGGCTGAATTTGAAGTTAGAAACTTTATTTATTGTCAAAAGCGGGTCAGGTCGGGTTTAAGAACTCACTAAGTAAGAGCCCATTGCCCAACAATTCAACTCAAAACTCACGCCGATAAAGCTAATATTTTCAGCCTCCCTTACCACCGATAAGTGCCTTTATCGCCGATAACTCGCGATAAACCCATAAAAACGATATCCGATTAAAAATCCTACTTATCCTAGCGGAAAGCTCCCAAATCCGATAACTTGGCGATAGATTATCGGCCGATATTTAAAACCATGCTATGTAGTTATCTTCTGTTCCTTAAGAAAATGCCAATCACTTTTTTCCCCACACTGCAGGTGTTTTGTTCTGTTTGTATTTCTGCGCTTGAGGGTTTTTAAATTAAATTGCGTAAGAGGCCATCACTATCACACATCAGTTGTTGGAAATAGCAAAGTTGTAAATGTAACATTTTGTTTTATAGTGATCCAAGGTTTAAGCTAAACATAAGCTACCAACTGCAGTCTCTTTTATCCAGGTTGGACTTATAGGGCATTATGTGCATCATAGGGTGACCTAATGTATTATTTTAAGCTCGTATAATTCTGGCTTCATCTGTTAGCTACGTAAAATTCTGCCACTTTCTATTAGTGGTAGTTCCACCCTTGCCATGGTTGTGAAGGATCTAATATCCAGATTCATGCATAACATATGTAAGTAGTAATCAACATAGTATGGCTTAGTTGTGATGAAACAGGTTTCCTCAAATCTCTGAGTTTCTAGCATGGCAAGAACCACAAATTTGAAGAATCCAAATTACATTTATTTCTTAAAGAATATGTTGCTGAAGAAGGGTATGTTAGTGGCTATTTGAATGCTTGCAGATATTATGTTTCCAAAATTCTTCCTTTTATTCACCTTTGTGATGATTGAATCCAAAACATTACTGTCCAACTTCTTGGAAAAAAGAAAATCAGGAAAGCGATATTTTATATATGCATACACATGCAGAAATGGAGGTCTAGGACATATTGACATATTTGGGTTTTCCTGAAGAATGAGTTATATTTCAATGGAAGTTTAAGGATAAAAAGTAAGCTAGTGAGCTGGTCTATTTACCTTATACTCAAAACTGGATGGAATCTTAAAGACAACACTCAAAATCCCTTAGTTGATGCAGTTTCAGTTTTCAAGTTCATCTTGTTAATAAACAATTATCCATTCTTGAAGGAGCAATATAATTGCTGTCATTTCTTCAGTTAGGTAATTTAATTGGCGGTCCATGAATACCATAGGCATCTGAATGTTGTCTACTTTATTGGATATGGAATTTTAAAACATTCATCTCTCTGAAGTTTTCGCAAGTGTGTCACCACAAGAAATTTCCAAATCTTTGCTTTGTAGTCCTTAGTTCACCATGATGAAGTTTGTTAGGGACATCTGAGAATTGTTATTTTTATATGTTTTGCATGTTAGTATGTCATATACAATCAATCTTCAGACAGCATTTTCAACTGCTTAATCCTTGTTTTTGAATTTTGTGTTCTAACTGAAAGTATATACATCTACCTGGCGATGGTGAGGGAGGGGGACACTCCAAATAATATGTTCTTCCAGCAATAGAAAGGTTCCTTCTCTGCAACAGTAACTGAAACAACAAAATGCACTGAAAATGGTTTCCTTTGAAGTGAATACAAGATGGGATGTACTAAATAAAAGCAATTGCATTATGGTTCCTACTATATACTGAATATTAATCTTTTGAATTAATGTAAAGGGGAATGCACCAAATAACAGCAAATAATAAAGTTAAGGAAAGTGAAAAAGGGAATTAATAACTTACCGTATATACTCGAGGAACACTACTACCAGACAAAAAAGAAAACTGCGTCCAGGTGGTAAGTACCAAACCGAAACTGAAAAGCAAAACTTCGACCTTTCCGACCCTCTTCTTCACCTTCTCATCGTTCAAGCTTATCAAGGTTTCCTTTACTCTTCTTCTACAGTTATACTACTTCTCTCCTTGTTTTCCTTCTCATCATTCTTGCTTTTCAAACATGAAAATGGATCCGAGTGAAGCTGGAATCTTGGTCGAAACAAGAGAGGCCGCGCTAGTCAAATTTGATGGATCAGGACAACCGATCCAGAGAAAAGGATGGTTTCTTAAGCCCAATGAGAGTATAGAAGAAAGGAATCTTGGAGTTCCTTTCTTCCCTGTGTTTCAGAGACCTGGCCCTAACTGGGTCTCAAAGCTGGATGCCAAGGTCAGTTTTAAAGGCTGGCCAAATCCTACAGCAGATTGGAAGCAATGGGCTGCAAAATTGACCCCAATCTATAAGGACGTATGGAAACAAGCCAAGATTTTTGATGCTATCCAGGTTTCAACTTGTAGATTTAGAAAAGATTTAGTATCCATTTGGGAGGTTCTACCATACTGGAGTAACGAAACAAATACATTTGCTTTTCCTTTTGGAGAAGCTTCGATCACACTTGAAGACACAATGGTTCTTGGGGGTTTCTCTCCAATAGGATTCTGTGTAAGAGAAGTAGGACTCGATAAGGAGCTTTACAAGTTGAAGAGTCAACTCCTCAGTCATCATCTAGCTTTTAACAAAACTACAGCTAAGAAGGCATGTTTTTCATTATGGATCACACACTTTATGAAGTGTGATGATATTTCACTAGAGCATATTGCTTTTCTGTCTTTATGGTTATCAAAGTACGTCTTTCCTAAGGCACCCGGTGATGTAGTACAGAGGGAATTATTTCCTCTAGCTATACTGATGGCTCAAGGCACATGCTTTGCCCTAGGGCCAGCAGTTCTTGCTAGTCTTTACCGTGACATGCGCTTATTGAAGGAACTCTTGATTAGGAGTGACAAGGATGATATTTTACCTATTTTTTCACCCTTTTATATAGTGCAAATGTGGGTATGGGAGCACTTTATTTCTATTAACCGCAATGCTTTTCCAGAAATCATCGAGCATGACAAACCATGGGCAGCTCGGTGGCACGAAGTAGCTATAGGAAGAACTTTAGGTTCAAGACTACTGTGCCAATCCCCTTGTGATTTTGAGTGGCGCCCCTATGCAAAAAAGTCGAGTAACTGGAGGTCACCATCTTTTTACGGGGAGAATGGTCAGTGGATTTATGGTGATGTGAATGAAGGAATCGCTTATTTTGCCAAGTTTTTAAGATCTTGTGAAATTGTTGGGTTAGATAGCATTGAACTTTATCTCCCCCAAAGAGTTTCCAGACATTTTGGATATGATCAAGATCTATTTGGGTGTGCTTATGTTGGTGCTGGGGTTTCAGATTGGGTAAGTGCTTGGGCTTGTTATACCAAGTATGAGTTTAACTATATGCTCTATATCCCTCCTCGAGACTATCAATCTGATGTTACTTATCAATACTATTATTGGTGGAAGGAGAATATTTCATCTTTCTGTTCTATTGAGATTGATGTTGGAATGCGGGGAAAAAAGAAGATGAGAAGAGTCTCAGTAGAGTCTGGGAGCCAGGAGCCTCGGCTGCAATTGGATTTGAATAACGCACCATCGAGTTGTGGGGTTGTAGGGTCATTTGAACCTAGAGGAAGGTGTAACATAAGGATTATAAAGGGTATAGCAAGAGCAAGGGGGGCTAATCGAGGTGCTCGATTAGCTAAGAACCAACTGATCCATCATGCAAATACAGAAGCTAGTCATGATGCAGCTGGAGAACGAGAGGACAAACAAGGCAGGCTTCATGATTTGGATAATTCTGAACATGACGCCCTTGAGTAGGTGAGAATTCTCTAGGTTTATTTTTGACATCCTGCTTTTGAAAAATGTCATGATTATCTTAGCATGCATGATGTTGCTTTTTACGTGATATATTTCCTATAGTACTTCATAGCCCTCATTGCCCTTAATATGACCTCGTATTACGTTTTTAGTCTTTTCTCTTTTGTTTAACCTCTTCTATTATCTTTGATTGGTGGGTTTGTCTTGTCTTTCTTCATGTGTAAGACCTCTTATTGACTTGGTTAGTTGATTATGTCATCCATGCTCTTGCACTTTGCCCTTTTGTTTCAATTCAACTGATCTCTTATTGAAGGTATTTTTTACATACTATGCCACATGAAGTGCACACTCACGTGAGAAGAGAGTATGTTGTAAAATAAAATCTTTGTAAGTTTCTTTTCTAACTACAGGAAGCTTCAAAATAAACCTATGTAAATGCCATATTAGATGTCATAATTAGTCATCGGCCTCTTTAAATTTGAGATTATGAGGCAACATTAGGCTGAAAAGACTTAATAACCAAAAATCAGTAGCGTTATGAGCATATAGGCTGAGAAAAAATATTCTTCTTGTACGACATAAACATCCAACTGCATGTAGAATGTCTGCTTCACCTTATCGCTGTCTAATTTGCATGTCATTTGCATGTCAATTTTTTCTACCTTGCTTTCAGGGAAGTGCATGTATGGGCTATCTGGGTTCTTCCTGTCCAGTCTTTGAATATTTTGACTGCCTACTTCTTTATATTTATTTGAAGTTGAAAATTAAGCTTTCATTTCACTCAACCTTTATTATATTCTCCTCATAAAATCATTGGCGTAATCACACACACACAACATTTTTGGGACATCAAGTTAACTGTTCTTTCATATGAAACATCAACTTCACTGTCTGACCTGTTTAAGCGGAGCAATCCAATTTCAGCGAGGATCAGGAAAAATATGACACTGAGTTTCTTGAGGTTTAAATGATAATACTTGCTCTGGCTCTCTCACTATCTGATATATATTATAGGCACACACACAATGATGTGCATGCACGCTTTTGGAATTGTTTATTTATATATGGTTGTAGCTTTGTAAATTATAACAAGATTAGGTTAGTTGGTAGAAAATCGGAAGTTATTTTCCCTAATTTGCAGCAAGATTCAGTTGAAAGAATTATGCAACTTACTTCTACAACTGCTCTGTATCAAAGATAAAGCTGATAGAATATAGCTGGTCAGAAATTTACTTGCCAATTTAAATGCATTCGTAATTTAGTGCATTTGTTACTTACATATTCCACTAGGGAAGAGGAAGATATGATTACCATATTAAGAACTATGAGGCTTTTATAGACATGAAATGAGGCCGAGGAAATTCTTTGACTAGTGTCCTGTGATTTATTTAACGCATTCAGTTTTCTTCATGCAACTTCCTCTAAGGATGAGCTCATGCCATTGCTTGTTTATGCTTTTTCTTGGGTGTTTTTCTTCTGTTGGAAGAAGATAACTGAACAATTAACCTAATAGGCTTGCTAGCTTTGTAGGAAGTAGGTCCACTTTTACAGATGCATAGGGAAACCGGCAAAGTTAGTTGTCCACAATAGAAACATGTTACATAAACTTTTGTAGCTTTGAATAGGGTTTTTACATGAAAACCACCTTAACTTTTGTCCAAATTGATAGTTACCACCTTTCCTTTTTTATTTTTTTAATCAAAACCACATTTACTTGCTGTTATGTTTACAATGTCAAACCAAACCGATTTGTCAACAAGAAAAAGAAGCGACCTTCTGAAAATATCCCCACCCCAGCATGTGCAAAACACGTGTCCCAATTAATTATAAAAATTGAGGTTTTGTTAATATTAGTCCCTCAAAATTTTCTTATTTTGATGTTAACCCCCCAAATCGATCATATTTTGAAATTAATCCCCAAATAGGTGTTGTCCAGAGAGGGTTATGATGAGATTTGTGATTGTTGATCTTTTGCTTCTTAACTAGGATTTTGGGGTTTTTTTTTCTTGGATTGGAGAGTGGGAGGGTGAGAAGATTAAGGGGAGGTGAGGTTAGTGTTCGGGAGAGGATTGAGGAAAGGTCTTTTTACATTGGAGGGTGGGAGGGAGGGAGGGAGGATTAATGAAAAGTAAGGTTAGGGTTTAGGGATTGGGAATTAGGATTTGGGGATTGGGCTAAGATTTGGAGATTTGGGTTTAGAAATACATGGCTATTTTTGAGAGAGAAAGAGAGAGAGAGAGAGAGAGAGAGAGAGAGAGAGAATCTAATTGCAAAATGTCAAAGATTTGGAGGACTAACTTCTAAAAAAAACCTTTTTTTATAATTATTTAGGATACATGAGAGAGAGAGAGAGAGAGAGAGAGAGAGAGAGAGAGAGAGAGAGAGAGAGAGAATCTAATTGCAAAATTTCAAAAGATTTGGAGGACTAACTTCTAAAAAACCTTGTTTGTAATTATTTAGGATACAAGTGCTTTGCACGTACTTTAGGTTGGGGTAAAATAGGAACTTAACGCTTGTTTTTTTCTGCTGAAAAGAACCAGTTGGTTTTGGTGTGACCTTCAAAACATAATAAGCAAATAAAATGTCCGGTTTTGACAAGTAATAAAAAGAGAAGCGAAACTTATTGATTCGGACTTAAGGTGGTTTTCATAGTTAAAAACACCTTTGGAATTATGGCTATGCCACACACTAGTCACTTTGCTCTCGCATAATTGTTATATTAGGAAATGCCACATACTATACAATAAAGATTATATACACTTAGTGTATAGAAAACTAAACTAACAAACAGAATTGTCTCGAATGAATCACCCATACTACAGTATGTTCGAATCCTTAATGTAGACATTGTTAATTTAGAATCCTTTTGATTAACATATTAGTTTTTACTATCCAAATGAAATTAGTTTCAAAATCTACATGCAATGATTACGAGAAGAAAATATTGAACAAGCATCACATTTGGGTACATGAAGTGTCCTAAAATACCTGAAATTTGAAATATATCATAAAGTTGTGGGTGTTTGTAAGAATTTAGGATAAATGCGTCCACACTACTGTATACACAATATGACAACTAGGATAGTTCTGAAGCATAACTTCCCTAATGAACTGCTTCAATTAGGGCTAAGTTCTCATTGCTCAAACACGTAAAGTGCTCAATTTTGTTCTGCCAAAAGGACACGCATAAACCTATGCACCCACCAACCCCCCCCAGCCCACCCCCCCCCCAAAAAAGCAAGCCATGAGCACCTTGCGCACCTGTAAACACATATACACGTATGCATGTCTGTATGTCTCTACACACGTTCCTTTTAATAACATCTTTTAAGTAGGAACGATAAGTCGCTTTTAAAGCATTACGCACTTTGAACTATGAATTATCTGGGATTGTAGAGGTTATTAACTCTTCGTGAACCATAGTTTCTGGGTGACACGTATAAAGTCTTTTCAATTAGAAGCATCATCTTAAAAGCATTTCTTTATTCGCATCCGCTATATGAACACAGAAATTGCATATGATATATATTTGAGCATAAAGTAAGATGTGAAATATATCTCCTGATGTATTCTATATTTAAGAAAGGTACGACCAAACTGCCAGGTAACATTAAGCCTACTTTTTCCATCTGAGGAGATGCTAGTTCAATTATAAAGAGAAATTTCTTATTGCATACTAGTGAAATTGTTATGAGCTTTTCTTCCGGCTTGATATGCTTACGGACCCTTCTATAGTTGAGGTTCAAACTGTTTTGTTTTGTTTTGTTTTTTTTAATTTTATTATCTTTTTATACTTCTTGATGTTTATTTCCTGATTAAATTTGCAGGAAGAAACTGTTGTAGCTCGCAAAGAACCCGTGATGATGTATAAGAAACTAATCGTTAGCGTAGAAGAGCATTTCTCTGAGCTGTTTTAACCTAGCTGTATTTTAAAAAGGGTAACCTTCAAAGTTCTTCTATAGAGGCTTGTGGTGTGTATATATATATATATATATATTATGAGAGTGCAACTTTAATAGATATGTTTAAGATATAATTATGTTACCTTTTTGTTTTTAAATATATTAAACTATAGTACATTGTTATTCATCTCTCGATTTAACGGATTTTACATGAAATGACTAATTATTCTGTGAGAAAAGTAGTCATCTGGTTTTCTCACTGATCTCAAACTTTTTATTCTCTTCTTCAGCTTTTAATGGCTTAGTTTCTACTGATTAATCCATTCACAATGATAAAAGTTTGGTAACTTGATCTGCTTCTTGTTGTCACATTGTAGTTTCCTGAAGTATTGGTCTTTTTGTTTGTTTTTTTGGCCAAGTCATGCAATAATTTGTCTATGTCCATATTGATAATTTGTTGATTGTGGTGTAAAAATTTTCCTGTCTTAAGGTACATAATTTTCTTAAGAATATATTGCATGTGTTTGCAAATACACATGAAATATTAAGTTCTGAAGAAGTAGTTAAGCCTTCAAGCAAGTGGGAGATTTCATTTTGTAATTGTTTTTCGGTGTATCATGTTTAATTGCTGTAAGGAGTTAACTTGAACTGCTCAAATCCAAATGCATGAAGATAATAATTTTAGGAAGGCTAGCTGCAGGTACACTATATTATGAGGATGTAGTTAGTTATATTCCTAGAACTATTTTGTTTACTTGTACACTTTTTGAATCAAGGGGACACTCTTTTTCCTTAAGATTGAGATTTTCATGTGGTAATCGCATGATGACTAATTGCTTTTTGTCATCAATTTAATTGAAATTACTGAATAAGCCTCTAAATTTATGGCAGATAATTAATTTACTGTCAGGTGACCATCTTAATCTAATTAGAAAACTACTCCATTTGGAATTCACAGTTTTTAGACAGACATGGACAATCTCACAAAGAGAAGGCTGCTAAAGCAGTACCTTTACAACTGCAACAAGGAGGGGCCAAACCCAGATACGCTAGAGAGAAGGAGATCAAGATCACCTTGTCCAAATCAGCAAAAGGATTAGCTGAGAGAAGCCAGTGACAAAGGCACCATCACTCAGCAGTGGCCCAGTAGCTAGAGGGATGTCGAACAACACTTAGAAGAAGTATGCTCGACGAGCCCTCAAAAAGAACCTATGCAAGAAGAAGCTCAAGATGGATCAATTCATCACCTTCAACAATGCTGATTTGAAGGGCGTAGTGACACCTCATGACGACACCATCATCATCTCCACGCAATTCAATGGGTTCCAAGTCAAAGAGGCATGGTGTTTACAGAAAACTCAACAAATGTTCTGTTCATAGGCACATTCAACCAGATGAAGATTGACAGATTAGAGCCGAAACCATGTCTGAGTCCTTTGGTAGGCTTCTCCGGGCATTCGGTTTGACCAAAATGGTTGATCACCCTGTCGATAGTCATTAGTCGTTGGTGATTACCCCCGCTAGCCCACGGTTTGAGTCTAGCTCATTGTGAAGGACGTCGAGTAGGCTTACAACGTCATCCTTGAGAAAACTTACCTGAATGACCTCTAAGCTATCCATTTCACTTGTCATCAGATGGTGAAGTTCTCAACCCTAGAAGGCGTTGGCTTTGTACGGAGTAATCAACGCGATGCCAGGTCATGCTACCTGCTCTCCATGAAAGGTAAGAGGACCTCAGAAACCCTGCCAATCGAGAAGTCACAAGCCTACATGCAAAAGGAACAAGGAGTCAACAAACCCTATTGAGAAATTGAAAGAAATTCTGCTCGGCACCGATGAAACCAAGAAAGTTTAAATTGGGTTAGGGCTGGCCGAACCATAGCGAGGAGCAATCATCAAATTCCTTCACGCAAACGCATATTGTTTTGCCCGGGGACCTAAAGACATATAGGGATAGCCCCAGAAGTGATGGCTCACGAGCTATGTGTCGATCGACACTGCAAGCCGGTCCGAAAGAAAAAGAGGCATCTCGAGCCAGAAAGGCAGCAGACAGCTGCAAAAGAAGTTGACCAAATGTTAAAGGTAGGGTTCATTTGGGAAGTCTAATATTCAGAATGACTGGCAAATGTGGTGCTAGTTAAGAAAGCCAATGGCAAATGGTGGATGTGCTTCGATTTTACCCACTCGTCCAAGGCCCTCTAAGACCTTGGTATCAATTTTCATGTGTAAAACCAAGGTACTAAACTTGCAACTCGATCTTCACCGATTTGTTCAAAGCACTTAAAGACCTTGGTATCAGTTTTCATGTGTAAACCAAGTCACTAACCTTGCGATTCGGTCTTCACCGAGTCGTCCAAGGCCCTCAGAGACCTTGGTATTGGTTTTCATGTGTAAAACTAAGGCACTAATCTTGCGATTGTCTTCACCGGCTCGTCCCGTCCAAGACACGCAAAGACCTTGGTCTCGGGTTTCATGTCTAAAACCAAAGCACAACTAAAATTCCTTGCGACTCGTTCTTCATCAAAGCCCTTGGTATCGGTCGTCAAGAATAAGCCTAAGGAACAAAGAAGAATCCTCGCGACTCGGTGTTAATCTACTCATCCAAAGTTCTTGGTATCGGTCTTCAAGAGTAAACCCATGGCACGGCGAGGAATAACTCAGAAATAAAATCATAGCTGTCTTCTGCAGGTCGATTCAAATCTCTGAGGAATAATTTTAGCCTGGCGCTTTCTTCATTCTCTTGGGGGTTTCGTTTAGGTGCTTTTTTCCTGTTATCTTTTATTGATTTTGTTGAAGTCCCGGAGTTGTTAACTTGCTATTAAAAACTGATTGGCATCCTATCTGTTGGGTGAAAGCAGTGTTATTCTGCCTTCATAGCGAGGAAGTCAAGAGTAATAGAAAATACTAGAAAATAAGAAATTAAGAAATGAAACAACTTCGTCACTCTGACCTTTGTTCTCTATCTTTGGTAGGGCTTAAAGCAACAGATTGATCGTCATAACGTCATCAGTAACAACCTTCACGTGCTAGAAAGGCATGATTCTTTAAGTTTTTGGAGACAATTAATTGCCTTCTGAAAGCATGCCCCAACTGTCACAGACTTCCAGTGGATTTCTTGACAAGGAGATGTCAATACAAAGTAGAAGTGTTAGAACAAAATTTCCATGGTTCGGTTAGCTTTGACCTACATCCATGGGTGAAATTGACAAATAATCCTCTAGTCAAATAGGAATGTTACAAGAAAGAGAACTCTCCAATCTCACAACCAAACACCACAAAAGAAAACTATTTACTTTTCCCAAAAATGAGAAGTGAGCTGCAACGCAACTCTGCGTCTCTCATTTTTATACTCGAGGAAGTTGATTCATGCCTTATTCATAGGCATCGAATGAATTTTCCAGATTGGATTAACTTTTCATTGCCTTTCTTTAAGAAATACAAGTGTCTTTACTTTTGCTCGAATAGTTCAGCTTACTTTGGCAGGTGTATTCTAGTTCCCAATTAATTCTTGTTCTTGGCATTCAAAACTAAAATAGTTACAATTAGTCAATTCAGTATAGCAGTTTATTAATGTCATTATACCAAAGCCTATAACCCAAT